TCACAGTTATCAGGGCCACCTACTTTTCTAAAGCGATCGCTCCACCTGGCGGGCCCTCGGTGGCCCCGAGTATCGTGATGAATGAGGAGGTGGAGGAGGAGGTGGACGCCCCTGGCGAGTTCGTCTGCAATCTGAAGAACTCAGAGGGGCAGCGGTGTGGCGACACTTTCACCAGCATGAAAGCTCTTTTATTGCACGCAGGCAGAGTTCACAAAGTTCGAAACGAGGCAGCACTTCTCACGGTCACGAACCAGTGTTTTCGGTGCCTCCAGGTTCTCAGTACTCGGGAGAATGCTCAGCGACATGTTATGAGATCTTATGCCCACAATCGCTGCGCTCTGGGACGCAGTAGCTACACGGCGGCAGAAGTTGTTCAACCTTTCTCACTCGATTGCCCCGTATGCAGCTTCACGGCTCAAGATCTCCGACAACTTCAGATACACATACGCACACACTGTGCCCTGGGTGCTCCTACTCTCCCTCGGCCTCGGCTTCGACCGCGTCATGTCGCAACCAGACGCGGCGTCCATGGACCTGGAGCTGCTGATCAAGAAGCACAAGCGCAAGCCAGGCGACGGCGAGGACCTCGGAGGAGCACCCTCGGGAAAAAAGGCCAACCTCGGGGACGCAGCAGACGAGGCAGAAGACGGTCTTCAGCAGGTCGAGGGGGCCCTTCGGGCTCGAGACATGCAGCAGGCCATATCGATATTGCTCAAGATGGCGTGCATGCACGCGCAGCTGCTGAGGGACTTGGCGGCGTCGGAGTGGGTGTGCCTCGTCATCCCGACGCTGAGCTTCCTGGTGGTCGCAGGGCGAGGCGCAGGCAAAATGTACGCGGAGGCGGCAGCCATCGCGGCAGCGAAGCCCCATCTGGGGCCACCACATTTGTACATAGCGCGCGGCGTGTTCAAGTCGATGGTCGAATCAGAGAAGCTACAGAAGTCGGGGACTCAGGCGTACCAAACCCTGGTCCTTTTTTACGAGAAGTTCGTGTCGATCAGCTCGGCTGCGGAGCTAGGATTAGTGATCAGGCACTTCCGTCTGAAGAAGTGCTACAACGAGGAGTACACCCGACTGCAGTTCGCGATCGGCGGGGACGTCACGGTGCAGCTGGCGGACGCTCAAGAGGGGTCGCCCGAGCGTCATCTGAGCAAGCTGGAGGTGGAGCAGTCGATCATCAAGCTAGCTCAGCTGGAGGACGCGAAGCTCAAGCTCGGGACCGCCCCTCAGGGGCACTTGGAGACCATGGCGCAGCGCACCCTCGACAAGACGAAGCAAAAGGGCAAGGGCAAGGGCGCGAAGTAAGTCAGCCAGATTCGGGCCCCGCTCCGTGGGAGGCTCGTCGGGCTGCCATCTTTGCACGCATCAGAGCACGGGAACTCTCGCAAAATGACACTACATGACGGACTTTGGACAGCACTTCCATATTCTGAGTTCACGAACTATCTTTCCGAAGGAGCGTTGTGTACCGGAGGATCTGAGGTTTTTTGGACTCCCGCCGACTCGTGCTTCAAGTCTATGAGACGGAACCCCTCGTCTTACTTGACGGCTCACAGTTGGCTCGGATGGATACCCACTCTTCTACAGATACATGACATTACATACGCTGACGTGCTGTTCCATACGTCCTCCTCGAATCCACGTACCTGATGCTGACGACCTAGACGGCTGGGTCAATTAATATTCAGATGGTCGCGATGCCTCGCGATCCCGCTCGTCGCCACGCCTCTTTTTCTTTCTTTGATGATGTTATGTGGTGTATTCGCGGCTTTGTCCTTACGGGATCGGGCCCGACACCACCTGTCGAACTTCACGCGGGTCTCCGCCAAGTTCGTCCCCACGGCTTTGTGTGCACGCCCGCGCTGGCCACCACCGAGTACCTGCCTGCCACGTGACCTCGATGCCCGAGGCCCCGCCCCTCTAGGCTGCGCCGAGCGGGGGGCGCGGTGCGAGTGGGGACTGCCCGGCGGTGCGCCGTTAGTGACCCTCGCACCGTTGCTCCCCGGCCCCGCGCACGGCGCGGAGAGTGCCCCTTGTTGGATGAGGGTCTCTCTCTCGTCCCTTTCCTTTTCGAGGCGTGTTCGTGATTCATCTGCACGCTCTCGGCACTGTCCTCACTGTCTTCCTCGGAGTGGCTATCTTCCAGAATTCGGGGACCCACACTCCCCTCCGCTGCTTCCTCTGCTCTTCTCCTGCTTTGGCCTCGCCCTCTCGCCTCGTCGTCCTCTCTTCCGCGTCGTTCCCCTTTCGTCCGTCGTTTTGCTGGAGTGTGGGTCCCTCCTCGGGGCGGGGCGGGTGCCTCGGAGGCCTGCCCGTCGCCCGCAGCGACGTGGGCTCGGCACTGGGAGGCCAGTGGGGTGTCCCCCCCAGCCCTCGAGGGGTCTCACGATTTGCGACTGCCTGGGTACGAGCACGTACGACAGGCTGCACGGCGCGCGCTACTCACGACCTCATCGCACTCGCTCGATGATCGTTCGAGGTAGGGCTCTGATTGCACGGGTTCACGCGCGGTCAGGGATCGGCACAGACCACGCGCAAGGCCGAGTCTTCTTCTTCTTCTCCTCCTCCTCCTCCTCCGCCTCCTCCTCCTCCTCCTCCTCCTCCTCCTGGGAGGCCCCGACTATATTGTCGGGGAGGCGGTGCGGGGCCCCGCGCGGAGCGCGCGCCCCGGCACGAGCGCCATCGCGGATCCTGCTGGTGCGCGCTCGTCGTGGAGGCCCGGGGAGTGTTTGCCGAGGTCTTGCGGCCGCGTGGCCGCCTGTGGCCGCCTCGTGGCTCGACGGCCAGCAGGCCTCCAGAGGGCCCCCCCAGAGGGCCCCCCCCCCGAAGCCCCATATATAGACGCCCCAAGAGGCACCCGAGATGAGGCCAGTCGATCGGCCATACGCGTGTGGAGGCCACTGGGAGAGAGCCCCGAGCTGGCCGCTCCTCGAGCGATCTGCGCTCCCCGATTCTGACTCATCCTCGCTGCTCGATCTTGCTCATCGGCCCTGGCCCTGGCTCACCGTTTCTCCCTCGCTCCTCGGCCGTCGCCCCTCACTTCCCCGTCCTCGCTCTTCACTCCTCTCTTCTCGCTCCTGCCTCCTCGCTCTTGGCTTCTAGACCCTGACTCCTCTCTTCTCGCTCTTGTCTCCTCGCTTCTTGCTCCTCGGTCCTCGGCTCACCTCGCTCCTTTTGCTCATCGCTTCTGTCTCCCCCTTCCGCCCTCCTCGCAGCACTCGCACCACGTAGCGGCAACACGACCAAAACGCATCAGTCAGCAGCACCCACAAACAAACAGCTGCCAGTAGCAGTACGACACAGCAAACAGTGCTTGGTAGTGTCACACGCCACCAAGTTGCGAAAATCGGCAGCGAGCGGCCGAGCAAGCAATGAAGCGACCAGACAGACATATAATACATATATATATATATATATATATATATATATATATATACACACACATGGGAGATCCCGGCCCCGGGGCTCCGAGCCGGCTCCCCCCCTTATATACCACGGTGCCCCCTCTCCCCGGGGGGCTCCCCAGACGACCCCCGGAGGCTCCCGGACCAGTCGAGAGTGCTCCAAGAGCGCCAAAAATGCCCCAGGAACGCTCCAAGACGGCCCAAGATGGCTTCCAGACAGGCCAAGAGGCCCTCAAGACGCCCCGAGAGAGGTCCAAGAGGCCCCCCGCGAGGGCCCCAGGAGACCCAAATGGCCCCATTCCTTTTGTAATACGCAGATTTGTATCATATCCTTTCCCTTGGATATCCGAGAGCCCAAATAGCTCAAGAGGCGCCCAAGGACGACCCAGGACGGCTTAGGACAGCCCCAAGACGGCCTAAGTGAGCCCCAAGCGGGCCCCAATGGAGCCCCACGAGGGCTCCAAGAAGGTTCCAAGAAGGGCCGTGGGGCCTTATTTGGGGCCGTCTGGCTCCCAACATGCCGCCAAGACAATTTGGGAGGCCTCTAGGACGCCCCCAAGAGAGCCCCAGGAGCTCCCAAGAGGCCCCCTGGAGGCCCCGCAGAGGCGTCCAAGAAGTCCCTGAGAATTGTTCCGCGAGGCACCGAAAGGCATCCAAGATGCCCCTGACTCACGACCCGCGCACAGGTATCGTTTGTACGTGCCTCTGTTCGTGTGCACTTGTCTGTATGTACGCATGTCTCCTCCTCCTCCTCCTCCCACCTCCTCCTCTTCCTCCTCCTCCTCTTGCCTCCTTCTCTCTCCTTCTCCCTCGTCCTCACTCCTCCCTCTCTCCTGCTCCCCCATCCTTCTCCATCTCCCTCCCTCTCCCCACATCCATCATATTCTCTCCTTGTCCCTCTCCGCCCCGAGCGTGAGCTCTGGGAGAGAAGGCTCTGAAGGACGAGCCAGATGAGGAGTCAGGGTGTGTCGGTCAAGGTGTTGAGCTAGGGTGTTTGGGTCAGGTTGTTGAGGCGTTCGGTTTCGGGCTTAGGGCCTCGGGTGTTCGGTGTCAAGGTTAGGGTATAAGGGTGAGGCTGTCTGGGTGAGGGTGCTAGGTTAGGGTTAGAATGTTAAAGTTCGGCTGTTTGGTTTCGGGTGATAGTGTTGGGCTGTTCGGGAGTTCGAGTATTGGGTTAGGGCTTTCGGGCTCGGGTGCAGATGATCGGTGTTTGGGTTAAGGCGGGTGTTCGGCTTGGGGTGTTCTTGTTCGAATGTTAGGGTTCGGGTGTCAGGGCTCGGGTGTAAGATTTTAGGACTTGGGTTAGGGTTACGGTGTGCGGGTATTCGGGTGTTCGGGTTCAGCTGTTCCGTCTAGGGTGTTGGGGCTCGGGTGATAGATCCTGCGGGTA